AGAAGACGACAACACGCGGCTCCCTGTCCTGCGGAGCTGGTCTCCTCGTGGGTGAAATGAGGACTACATAGCGGCAAGCGCACCTACTATGTGCCTGGTGCTTTCTGCTCTTAGAACAGCTCTCCGAGTTTCAACTCCTAGAATGATCTCAAAAAAAATTTTTTTTAAATGAGATGGGGACCGTGACCATCTCTACTTCTCCGATGGGGAAACCGAGGCACGGGAAGGCGAGGTTACACGCTCAAGGTCAGACAGACAGGAGGAAGGAGAGTTGGGTTCAAGCCCAGGTCGTTTTCTGCCATTCTAAAGGGTTTCGGGGGGAAAACGTGTAGTATTGGGTCCTCAAAGATGTCCATTTTCTCCTCTGATTTGGTAACCCCCTCGAGCCGGCTCCCCACCCACCCCCACCCCCAACCCCAAGCCACAAGGCCCGCAGGCTTCCTCCGTAGACTACTGCGGGGTGGCGAAGGCTAAGGCACCCAGCACACGGTCGGCCTCCCAAGTGTTACCCTCCACGCCGGCCCCTTGCAGTCACCACCTCTCTCCAGCCTCGGTTTGCCCCTCTGAGAAATGGGTACACTCTAGCCCACTTGGAGTTATAACTAAGGGGCGTTATTTAGTTACCAAAAAAAATAAAAGCCAGCCCCCGTGCATTGTAGGTGCTTTTACAAATGTCTTTCTCCACCGCTCTGCCTCGGCCAGCCCCGACCCCGGTTTCGGGTCCGCAGTTTTCACAAATGAAAACGGAGACACTGTCTTCTGGGGCGGGCACTGCCGGCGATGACTCAGGTATTCGAGGGTTCCAGGTCCCAAAGCGAGCCTCAGTTTCCCCGTCTACGGAAGAGGCCCGGGGCCGCCGGCGAGGACCCCGGCCCGGCCGTGCACACAGTAGGAACTCGCGTTGGGCAGGGGAGGGAGGGGGCGGGGAGAAGAGTCGCCCCGGGCCGCCGTTCCCCCCCACCCCCCGCCGCAGTCCCGCAGAGCACAAGGTGAGTGTCCCCGTCGCCGCTCCTGCCCCGCCACTTGCCCAAGCCTCCGGGGCCCGTTCGCAGCCCCGAGGCCCAGCCTCCCGGGTCCAGCCCGACTCCGCCGCCGCCGGCGGGCAGTGAACCCCGGCCACTCACCGGCTTCCAGGGCCGTCCCGAGGCTTCGGCCTGAGGAGAAAGAGGGGCGGGCCCGTCAGGAAAGCCCCGCCCACACGAGCGCAGAAGAGGCCAATCGGAGCCCGCTGCGGCAGGCTACGGCCCCGCCCATGGGGGCGCCGCGCCACCCAATCAAGAGAAGCAGCTGGCGAGCGAGGCCAATCAGAAGTTGCCGGAGTGTGCCAGCCGTGGGAAAAGAACCGCGCCGCCAGACTCCGAACTCCGGCGCGGTTGTGGGCGGGACGCGAGGCCTGACGGGCAGCGCGTTAGACCAATGGCGAGGCGCGGGGGGCGGCTGGGGGCGGTAGGCCCAAGGGACCCGGGTGAATGGGTCGCTTTGTAAGGGAAGATGAATGGTGGCCTTTGTGAGTGCCGCGTGGGGGGGGCCGGCTGGAGGCCGGAATGCCTGGGTCCCCCGGGAGCTGGCGGGCAGCAGAGACCGGAGAGAGAATTCACTTTTGTCGAACGCCGACCGCGTACCAGGCACTCTCCCAGGCTCTCACCCACCAGGGAGGTGTGGGCAGTACGGTCCGTAATAATGATCATTCACTGAGTGCCCGGTGTATGCCAGGAGCTGTGCTAAGCCCTTTACCTGCATGATCTCATGTTATTCCTTACAACTCCCCTTTGGAATTGATGCTATTAAGATCTTCATCTTGCAGATGAGGTAAACCGAAGCTTAGAAAGAGGGTGTTAGTTGCAGAAAGTGACGGAGCTGGCAAGTGGCAAAGCAAGAACTCGGATCCCACTAAACCTGACTTCAAAAATTCTGCTCTTTTTTTTTTTTAAATCTCAGCAGGAAGCTATTCATTCATTCATTCATTCATTCATTCATTCATTGTTTTGTTTGTTTGTTTGTTTGTTTTTTAAATATATTTTTATTGATTTTTTACAGAGAGTAAGGGAGAAGGATAGAGAGTTAGAAACATCGATGAGAGAGAAATACTGATCAGCTCCCTCCTGCACACTCCCCACTGGGTATGTGCCCGCAACCAAGGTACATGCCCTTGACCGGAATCGAACCCGGGACCCTTCAGTCCGCAGGCCGGCGCTCTATCCACTGAGTCAAACAAGTCAGGGCTCATTCATTCATTGTTAATCCTCACCGGAGGATACTGGAGTCGAACCTCCTCTGGCCCACTCTCTATCCACTGAGCCAAACCAGCGAGGGCCAGAACTTCTGCCCTTAACCGCCATGCTACACCCAAACGTTGGTTAATGCTTCCCAATTGACAGATGGGAAAACAAGCTCAAGAGAAGTCAGGCGGCTTCTCAAAGTCACAAAGAAAAGGCTCTGCTGAACCCTGAGGCAGTGACCACGAGTGCAGCTAACCTGTGGCTGGTGAGCCCTGCACCCCTGGTCTTTGAGCTGTGTCCCCATGTTACAGGTGGTCACTGAGGCTCCAGTCTGCCAGCCTGGCCCTGCTGTTCACCAGCTGTGTGGGCTTGGGCCAGCTGCTGGCCTCTTTTGAGGTTCCATTTATTCCTGCATCTGTAGAATGGGGGTGATGGCTCTCTGCCTCCACTCTGACAACCCCCCAAACACAGAGACTGTCTACTGCCAATGGGATCCTGGTAAACTTTATTCTGACAGCTCCCCTCCTCTGTTTAGAACAGTGGTTCTCAACCTTCCTAATGCCGCGACCCTTTAATACAGTTCCTCATGTTGTGG